TTACAATAGAGAGATGGTCTGGACAGACTGTATGGTCATATGCCAAAAATAGCTACTATCTGGCCTTTTTACAAAGTCTGCTAACTCCTACTCAAGAGCAATACATTTTTTTTTTTTTGAGAAAATGACTTATTTCCCTCAAAAACGTGAAAAATTTGATTCAATTTAAGACAAACACATTTCCTCAAATTACTGGCACCAGCTCTTTTCCAAGGCTTCAGTAATGCAGAAAGAGCTGTAAGATTCTGACAAAATGAAAAAAAAAAAAAAAAGAAAGAAAGAAAGGTGCTATCTCAAGGCAGTTCTAACTTTTCATTGACCTGGTGCTCACTATTTTCTGTTGGTAGTTTTTTTAAGATGCAAAGTTACTTTTTTTTATTTTTTAAGGATTTATTTATTTGTTTGAAAGGCAGAGTTATGGAGGGGCAGAGGCAGAGAGAGTCTTCCATCCAATGGTTCACTCCCCAGCTAGCCAATATGGCTGGAGCTACACTGATCCAAAGCCAGAAGCCAGGAGCCTCTTTTAGGTCTCCCTCATGGGCGCAGGGGCCCAAGGACCTGGGCCATCTTCCACTGCTTTCCCAGGCCATAAAAGAGAGCTGGATCAGAAGTGGAGCAGCCGGGACTCGAACCGGCGCCCATAGGGGATTCTGGCACTGTAGGTGGCAGCTTTACTGGCTATGCCACAGTGCCGGCCTTTTCTGTTTGTAATTGAGTTGTCTCCAGAAGATTTATTAAAGTTGGAAAAATCATACAGCATCTACTTCTCTGGTTATCAGTAAAAATTAGAATGGAATTTCACAAATCAGTGAGTTTCAGTTCCAGAAATATTTGAAAGAGAAAACTCATATCAAATCTCAAGCCAACTTTGACTTCTGTATGTGTGGGGCAGTTTTTTGCTGTGTTCCCCTCCCACTCTCTTGTCCTCCCTTCCTTTTCTGATTTAATGCTACACTCTGGACATACAAGATTAGAAATAATAGTATAATATTTTATGTTCTGCTTTATTCATTCAACAGACTATCATAAATATGTTTTTATTTTGCTGACTCTAGGGCTATGCTATTATTATGTTACTGAAGGCTAAATAACATTTCACTCCATAAGATATACTAATACATATTTAACTTACTGGGAACAATAAAAGGTACACCATCTTTTGCTAGGGTAAACAAATAAATGAATATCTTTGTGATTTCTCTTTATATCCTTACCAGATTATCTGATTAGGAGAAGGTTCAAAAAAAGGAAATACAAGAACAAAGGAATGTCCTCCTTTCCAATATGGGTATACATCTCCAATCTGCCCTACAAAATGGTTCAACTAATTCAAGCTTGAACTAACAACTTCTAAGACTCCAGGATTCACCATCATCTTACCACCACTGGGTATTATCAATATTTTAAGTCACAACTGCTCATATATTTAGGTTAGTAATGGGATAACAGGGCAATTGTTTCTCCTGCAAGAGCTCAGCAGTGTTTATCATGGTCCTGTGCTCTTCTCATCTCTCTCTCTCACATACACCCATATACACACAGCACACAAACGTGAATATATGAGGGCACATCAAAAAGTCTATGACAAAATGGAATTAATGTTTATTTTGGTATCAAAACAGGGATATTTATGCATAGTCTTTTTCATAATATGCATTCCCCATGAACTTTGTGAAGACCCCTAACATAAGCATATATGAGAGTGTGTGTGTGTTTGTGTGTGTATAACAAATATCTTTCTAGTTTACCATTTACCTTTTACCTGGCTTATATTTTATTCATACAAGAAAAGAAAAGTTAACCCAGAATTATATACCTACTGGCAAGAAAGGAGGTAAAATAAAGACTATTTTCAAGAAAGAAAACTAAGACAAATTGTCACCAGCAAACCTGAACTGTAAGAAATGCTAAGGAAATGATACTATTTATAAATTCCTGTCTTCAAGAAGGAAATAAAGCACTAGAAATAGTAAACAACTAGGTTAACAAAGATATTATTTTCTCCTCTCAAATTCTTTATATATGACAGTCTAAAGCAAAAGTCATATCAATATATTACTGGATTTATATTATAAATAGATATAAGATAGCCTATACTATAAAAGGGGTAAATGAGCCCATCTGAATCAATAGAACATTCACTAAAAATTAATACAAATAGTATAGCTAAAAGGCCAAAAGAGAAATTAAAATGAAATTCCAAAATATGTCCACTTAATGCAAAAGGAGGCAAAGAAAGGAGGAAGAGAGAAATAACAGCAGCAAAAAGAAATGAGACAAAATCAAACAAATGGTGGACCCAAACCTAATCATATCATTAATGATATTACATTCTAATGGATTACATATTCCAATGAAAAGAATTTTCAAAGTGAATTTTTGAAAGTACCAACCATATGTTTTTTATAATAGAAGATTTTTAGATATAAAATAGATTTAAATATACAGAAAAAAGATATACCATGTTAATATTAAGTATAAGAAAACAAGAATGAATTTATTATTACTAAATTAAATGCCAGAATGTGAGAGTATGGGGACGACATTGTGTGTGGCAGGGTAAGCCACTCTCTGTGACACTGGCATCCCCTGCGAGCACTAGTTTGAGCCCCAGCTGCTCCACTTCCAATCCAGCTCCCTGTTAATGCATCTAAAGAAGCCGCAGAAGATAGCCCAAGTGCTTGGGCCTCTGCCATCCACATTGGAGACCTGGATGGAGTTCCTGGCTCCTGGCTTTGGCCTACCCCAACCCTGAGTGTAGCAGCTATTTGGAAAGTGAACCAGCAGATGGATGATCTCTTTCCGTCTCTCCCTCTCTCTGTAACTTTGCCTTTCAAATAAATAAATAAATAAATCTTAAGAAAGAGATAGAGAAGGAGACAGAGAAAGAGAGAGAGAGAGTGCCTTCATTATTATCAAATGAAGTAGATTAGACAAAGGTTAAGAGTGAAGAAGGATATCTCATCACAACAAAAGGTTAATCACCAGGAAGACAACAATCGTAGATATGTATATACCTAAATAACAGAGACTGAAGAGTTAAATGTAATGCTGACAGAATTCGTTTCTCAGTAACTGACAGAATAAGATTAAAAAACAAGTCAGAATAGAACTCTTATTTCAAGTGCACTTGTGCATTCATAAGCGAGATGATAAAATAAGTCACAATAAGAAACAACTGAAATCACAGAGTATGTTCTCTGACAAGAATGCAATTACACAGCAGTCAGCAAAAATTAGAGATGTAGGAGAAATCCTAAATATATGAAAACTAAGCAATAGACCTTCATGGATCAAAGAATAAATCACAAGCAATATTAAAAGCTTATTAAAAATGCAGGATAATGAAAATATAATAGATCAAAATATGCTTGAAATATTTATTTTCATTAATTTGAGAGATGTTTTCCTTATAACTTATAATTTAAATGACTTATAATTTAAATGCTTATCATTAAATAAATTATAATTTAAATGCTAATGTTAACAAAGGAAGTCTAAAGTCAATTATCTGAAGTTTTACCTTAAAGTAGAAAAACAACAAACTCACTCAAAGTACATAAAAGTAAGGACGTGATAAGATAAGCACCGAAATCCAAGAATCGGAAATCAAACAACCCAAAACTTAACAAAGCATACAGCCAATTCTTCAGAAAAGTCACAAAACTGATAAAGTATATCTCACTAATCAAGACAAAATAGACTACAAGTACCAAAATTAGTAATGAAAAAAGAGATATTGCTATAGCTCCTATAGATATAAAAAGCACAAAGCACTATTATGAAAAACATTGTGCAAACAAATTTTTTAAAATAAATAAAGTAGACAAACTCCCTGGAAATATCAATAACCAAAATATGATACCAAATAAAATAGAAAATATGAATAGATTTATACCATTAACATAATTTAATTCACTATCCAAAACATTCCCACATAGAAATTTCTCTGGTAAATTCCTTCAAATATTTAAGGAAGAAATTACACCAATCTTACACAAACTGGGAGAAAAGGAGGGAAACTTTCTCAATTCATTTTATAAAACAGCATAACTTTGATGGCAAAACCTAGAAGGACTGAATGAAAAGCAAACTACAGATCAATATTCATCATGAGCAGGGATGTAAAGTCATTGATAAAATAATAGTAACCCAGGGGCCGGCACCCTGGCACAGTAGGTTAATCCTCCGCCTGCATCACCAGCATTCCATATGGGCACCGGTTTGAATCCCAGCTGTTCCTCTTCCAGTCCAGCTCTCTGCTGTGGCCTGGGAAAGCAGTGGGAGATGGCCCAAGTGCTTAGGTCCCTGCACTCATGTGGGAGACCAAGAGGAGGCTCCTGGATCCTAGCTCCAGATTGGCACAGCTCTGACCACTGTGGCCATTGAGGAGTGAACCAATGTGAGTCTCTCCCTCTCACTGTCTGTAACTCTACCTCTCAAATAAATAAATAAAATCTTAAAAAAAAATAATAGTAACCCAAATCCAACAATTTATAACATGATAATACAACATCGCCAGATGGGTTTTTTCCGCTGGGAATGTAAGGTAGGTTTAACATGAAAAATCACAGTGGACTTACCCAAGTGCAAAATCTAGCCAGTGGTTCCATCCAACTTCAGCCCCACCAAAGGACAGAACCAAATAACAAGCCTGGTCTAAACCATGGACACTACCAGCTAGCCTATCCACAGCCCCAGGCTGGACTGACTAGTGAAAGTCAGTGACATAATTTATACCTTTCTTTCCTTTCAAAGAGTTAATATGGATATTTGAAAAAGTCAAGAAATTTTAAAGTGTGTCTTAACACCATGCTTAGGTCATTTTTATTTTTGAGTGGACATATTCAGAAATTGGATCTACCTGTATTTGACTTCGATATCAGGATCTTTTCAGGTTCATTAGCTAAACTGTAGACTTTATATAGATGAATAAAGCATCACAAACAGCAATTTTTTAAAAATGAGCAAAATTTACCAGCTAGCAGTTTAATACATACCTACAGTGATGTTACCCATCTTGCTTTGTAATGTTATATCACCTATAAAAGAAAAAGGAAAGAGAATTTTATGTATTAGGGATAATCAAGAATGGAACAATGTGAAATAAAATCCTAAAACAGGGTTGGACATCCACCAAGTTATTTAGCAACACTTTTATTGTTGTTGGCAATGTTTCTCAGTATCACAAATCCAATCACAAATTTAGCTTTAGAGAACTTTCTCCACTTCCAAATCTTAAGCTTTCATAACTAACTACAAAACAAACCACTGTACTTCCTAGGAAACACAGAAGAAAAAAATGGATACTTCCAAAGCCCATAAATGAAAAAAAAATTATTCAAATGTACTCACTACACATTTTAACCTAAGCATTAATATATTTACCAGACCACACAAAGCCAAGTTTTGAACCAAGTAACACTAAAAGATTGTATGGAAAAAATGACTTTTTAAGAGGCTAGCTGCCAAGTCTGTTTGTTAGATTAAAGTAGTTTCTGAGCCAAGCATTATAGTAGTTTGGGATAAGAATAATGAATATGTAGAAGTATGACTAACAAAGCAAAATCTTCAAAGGTTTCCATCTTTCAATAAAAATGTATTTTCCAGGAAAAATATGAAATAGTCCAACCATTGTTGCCAGCCATCTTCCCCTAAAGCCAAAATTAGTAGGGTTTTTCTTCATATGTGTGTTTGTACGTATAAGTAATCCTAGAGCCAAGAACTTCTATTTATTCCACCAAAAATGTAAGCAATAATATTACATTTTCAAACATAATTCCAGAACTATACAAGAAAGTAAAGGAAATATATTAGTGTCAGGATTAATCCAGGATAAGTAAACTCATTTATCTCATTTCATGTGTTTTGTGAACACTGAAGGTATCAATGTCTGGGAAAAGGCACTTGATTCATTTCCTGACAGACAGATGTGCCTGATTACCAAAAACAGAAAACAAAAAACCACTCTAAAAGTCTAACATTCCATCTTACTTCATGTGAGTACATGAACAAGGGTACATTTGTGTAGGGATAAAAACTTGGTCTGTGTGCAGAGTCTCATAAAATTAACTTTCAAGTCTCAGTGGGTTACCAGGCTGTGAAGATGTTGTTAAAAGTGTTAAGTAAATATTATTTCTCTGGTGGGTCCTATACACTCTCAGCCAATTGTGACATCCAGTAAGTATGCACCAGCACATGCAAATAGTGGCCAAATATCATATAGCTTCGAAGTGAGCTTCCAACCATCCCTGTCTGCCAACACTCATGCCCTTGTGCAATCTCCGCACCTCCTTTGCAGGCTGGACTTAGTGATTTGCTTTTAACAAAGACAACCAGAGGAAACTGATGGGGATATCACCTCTAAGATTAGGTCACCAAGAAACTCTGCTTCCTATCTTGCGAGTCCTGTCTTGCTCTTCTGGAAGCCAGCTGCTATGTGGAACTGCCTGTGGAAGAGAACGCCAGCCAGCAGGGTCAGAACTGAATCTTGCCAACAACCAGAGGAGAGAGCTAGGCAGATTCTTCCTGGTTCAGTGTTCTGGTGAGCCCACAGCACTGGCTGGCAACTTGATCATAGCCTTGTGAGGGATATTTAAGTAGAGGACCCAGTGAAGCTGCATTCACAGCCCTGGCCCATGCAAAATATAAGATGATAAAGGTCTGTTTTTATTTGCTGTGTTTTATGATGTTAAGGATGCATAGGTAATCAGTATATATGCTAATACTTGAAGTGAGGTGCTGTCATAATAAATGCCTAACAATGTGGGATTCACTTTGGAATGTGGCAGCAGGTGGAGGCTGGAAGGACTTGTGCATGTTATAGAAAGTCTCAATGGCCCGGAACAGACTCTGAGCAGAAATCTGGACTTTGAGTGAAGGTTCAAAAGAAGTGAGGGAAATGTTTTTGAAAACTGAGGGAAGGAGGAACCATGGTAAGTTATGGCAGAAACTTAGCAATGCTATCATCTTTGGAAATGGAAAGTAGGAAATGCATCCAATGAACTGAATTATCTGGCTAACAACATGTTCCAACAAAGTCAAAGCATTACAGGTGCTGGCTGTTGCTCTCCTCCCACCCCTGCTTCCTTGTTTTTTTTACAGTAAAATGTGAGAGGAAAAGATAAATTGGGGGGCTGGTACGGTGTCATAGTGAGTAAATTTGTCACCTGCAGTGCCGGCATCTCATATGGGCACCAGTTCAAGTCGCGGCTGCTCCACTTCCAATTCAGCTCCCTGCAAACGTACCTGGGAAAACAGTGGAATATGGCCCATGTGATTGGGCCCTTGAACCCACATGGAGACCCAGATGAAGCTCCTAGATCCTGGCTTCTGCCTGGCCCAGCCCTGATCATTGCCATTTGAGAAGTGAACCAGTAGATAGAAGATTTTCTCTCTCACTCTGCAACTCTTTCAAATAATTAAATTTTAAAAATAAGAAAATGAGGCCGGTGCCGCGGCTCAATAGGCTAATCCTCTGCCTTGCAGCGCCAGCACACCAGGTTCTAGTCCCGGTCGGGGCGCCGGATTTTGTCCTGGTTGCCCCTCTTCCAGGCCAGCTCTCTGCTGTGGCCAGGGAATGCAGTGGAGGATGGCCCAAGTGCTTGGGCCCTGCACCCCATGGGAGACCAGGAGAAGCACATGTGTCCTGCCATCGGATCAGTGCAGTGTGCCGGCCGCAGTGCGCTGGCCGCAGCTGCCATTGGAGGGTGAACCAATGGCAAAAGGAAGACCTTTCTCTCTGTCTCTCTCTCTCACTGTCCACTCTGCCTGTCAAAAAAAAAAAAAAAAAAAAAAAAAAAAAAAAAAAAAAGAAAATGATAAACAAAAACCAAAGAAAGGCCTGATTTAAAAAAAATGGATCTGGGCTTGAATGGTTTTGCAAATTCTCAGCCTCTTAAGGTGGCTTCCAGATGGTTTGAATCTAGGGAACTGCTAGAACATGACCTAAAAGAAAAGCTGATGGGTGACAGTGAAGACTTTTAGTAAGACCCTAGAAAGGTCAATGATGATACCTTACAAATCCTCTCAACCAAATAGGCCATCTGGAAGGCTTGAGGATATTATCGCAACATCTCTACAGGAGCCTGTAGTTTGAAGAGATTCTGAGATATTGGCTTTGGTCTGCTGGAATAAACCTCAAGGAGATTCACAGGGCACTGATACAGTTTTTTTTTTTTTTTTAAGATTTATTTTATTTATTTGAAAGAGTTACAGAGAGAGGTAGACACAGAGAGAGAGAGAGAGAGGTATTCCATCTGCTGGTTCACTCCCCAGATGGCCACAACAGCTGAAGCTGTGCTGATCTGAAGCCAGGAGCCAGGAGCTTCTTCCAGGTCTGCCATAGCAGAGAGCTGGACTGGAAGAGAAGCAGCTGGGACTAGAACTGGTGGCCACATGGGATGCCAGCGCTTCAGGCCAGAGCTTTAACCTGCTGCACCACAGCGCTGGCCCCCTGATATAGGTGTTTGTTTGTTTGTTTGTTTGACAGGCAGAGTTAGACAATGAGAGAGAGAGAGAGACAGAGAGAAAGGTCTTCCTTTTCCATTGGTTCACCCCTCAATGGCTGCTACGGCCGGCACGCTGCGGCTGGCGCACTGCGCTGATCTGAAGCCGGGAGCCAGGTGCTTTCTCCTGGTCTCCCATGCAGGTACAGGGCCCAAGCACTTGGGCCATCCTCCACTGCCTTCCCGGGCCACAGCAGAGAGCTGGACTGGAAGAGGAGCAGCTGGGACAGAATCCGGTGCCCCAACTGGGACTAGAACCTGGAGTGCCGGCGCCGCAGGCGGAGGATTAGCCAAGTGAGCCGCAGCGCTGGCACCCCTGATATAATTTTTGAGAGAACTGTATGAGCAAACACACCAGGAACTTGGACAAAAGGGATGGTAGCAGTACAAAGTGAGACCATCAGATACCCAAAATTCTAGAACTACTCAGCTGCAATCATATTATATTTCATTAAAAAGCAAAGATGACTCAGAGGGTGGAAACAAGAGCTCAGAAGGAAATACATAGAAACATCAAGAATTATTCTTGGGGCCAGCGCCGCGGCTCACTAGGCTAATCCTCCGCCTAGCGGCGCCGGCACACCGGGTTCTAGTCCCGGTCGGGGCGCCGGATTCTGTCCCGGTTGCCCCTCTTCCAGGCCAGCCCTCTGCTGTGGCCAGGGAGTGCAGTGGAGGATGGCCCAGGTGCTTGGGCCCTGCACCCCATGGGAGACCAGGAAAAGCACCTGGCTCCTGGCTCCTGCCATCGGATCAGCGCGGTGCGCCGGCTGCAGCGCGCCGGCCGCGGCGGCCATTGGAGGGTGAACCAACGGCTAAAGGAAGACCTTTCTCTCTGTCTCTCTCTCTCACTTTCCACTCTGCCTGTCAAAAAAAAAAAAAAAAAAAAAAAAAAAAAAGAATTATTCTTGGGCATGGACATCTAATCAAAGAACTGGCAACATTTGCCCACACGAATTCCAAAATCCCTAGGGGTCAGTAACTCCTTTGCATCTCCCTTTCTCCTTCTTTTGAACAAGGAAGTCTACAGCCATTGTCTTATACCCAGACTGTCATGTATGGTGTTAGGTGATGTGTGTGTCTGTGTGAATGTGTGTTGGTAGAAGGGGAGGAAGGGGAAAATTAGTATGTCACTTTAGTTCACCAGTCTCCAGATTCAGAGGAACTGCACTTGAACTTTACTTAAGGCAGGGATTATACTGAGGAGGCTGTCCTATACCTGAACCTGACTTTGATATGGAGAGTCTGGAGTTTTGGCTGATGCATACTAGGATGACACTTCTGGGAAGCCTGGGAGAAAGGCAGTGTATTTTGCATGCAGAAGGGATGCTGTGGTTTGTGCCCCAACAGTTCATGTGCTGGAAGCTGCGTTCCCAGTGTGGCAGTGTTCAGGTGGTGGAATCTTTAAGACGCGGGGCCTCATGGAAGGTGGTTAGCTTGGGGGGGGGGGGGGTCCACTCTCATCAGCTGGTCTTGCTGAGTAGGTTTGTTCTTGCAGCAGTTAGTTCTCATGATGCGTGAGGGTTGGTATAAAATGA